TTGGCAAATATCGGTGTGTAGAAGAAACGACGGAAGGAGTGGATAGAGAGATATCACCGGTCCATTGCTCGGGATCTGCCCCGTCGGGAAAGAGACGTCGCTGTGGTATGATCGCTTGCCCGCCGAGATGGAGAGCTGCCGCCTGGTCTCCGTGCCCAACGTGTGGTCCTGCGAATAGGACCAGAATAGTTGGATGCGTGCAAGATCATTCTAGAGGAATTACAAAGGTTAATCCTTTTGTCTATGACATAAGCATATTTATGCAGATATTTTTTTTCTACCATATTCTTACTTCTATTTCCTTTTAGGTTAACGATGATAAATGTTCTCCCGAAAGGCCGATTACGAGTGAAAAATGCAACATAGCAGATTGTCCAAAATATAGTACTCTTGAATCGAAACATGTCATACGCCTAAACGAGGATACGGACACGTTTCGAGAAGGTCCCGTCTACACGATATCAGTGAACAATTCTGAAACCGATCTCGGACCCGAGTATAGCTTAAGTGCTTCTGCTGGCTGGCTTTCATCTGATTGGTCCCAGGTACTTTCATTTTTTTTATTCACATGTATAATACCTTGACATCAGTGACAGACTTGCCAAATATTTACATCCAATTCGTCATTAAATAGTTTTTTTTTATACTGTAAGGTGGCAATGAGCAAACATCCACCTGTATTCACCAAAATAGACGCGACCACTGCCAATAAATATTCGCAATTGCAGAAGCGTTGCGTACCCTTAATTGACAAAGGAGGAGACGCACATAAAGATGATATTTCTTCTTCTCATGTGTTTCCTCTGCCGTCAAATCCACTTTTATCTACCATACTTCCTTATAAGAAGAGTGGAAAGGAAAAGGGACTAAAATTATGCCTCCTGTGAATTAAAAACTGTTATAGTGTATTGGATGGTGCGTTGGTGGCGGGTTACAAACCCGCAGCGTGCGGTGCAGCGACCCGTCTGGTTGTTCACCTCAAATATCACCAGATGTAAGAAGAAATTGTACTGCGAAAGCCACATGTGTGCCTCATGAAGGACATTGGTTTACAGGTACAAAAATCAATATTATTATTAATATCTATATGATATGCTTGTAACAATCACCTATGCATCTTTTTGTACTAATCTTGACCGACACTTTTCAATCCGGTAATTACTTTTTAGGTGAATGGTCGACATGCTCAGCTCCGTGTGGAGGCAAACAGATCCGCGGCGTTCTCTGTATTGGTGAAACTGGCCGTCACCTGAGAGACTCAGCTTGCAAGGACCCGAAGCCGGCGAGTGATCGCGACTGCGGCGACTGTGCGCCCATCTGGTACTACAGCGAGTGGAGTAAAGTAAGTTCTTACTGCAATGCATTATGTCATGTGTAAGCATTTAGTTATCGATTCGGTCATAATTTAATTAGTTAGTTTCCAATTTTTTTTGTGACATCGATGCTTGTTAGCAGCATTGGTGATTTAGGGTTTTAAGCGCTTGATTTGTAATCTACAGGTTTAGGGTACGAATCTCACCATATACCACTGTGATTTTCGTTTTTCAAATTTCCTATAGTGATGCAATCTGCATATATTGACTAATTCAAAGATATGTATGAAGTCAATCAATCCGCACTGGAACAGCGTTGTTGACTTTGACCTAATCACCCCTTACTTTAGTGTAGCCTCCGAGCCCTTCAGTGGGATCGTATAGTGAGCTGGTGATGATCCTTGTTATTACAATTTATGTTGTGGAAAGGTTAATATGTAATAATTCTGACTATAATTTTATATCCTTAATTGATTGTAACGTTTCAATGAATTTATTATATCGGATAATGAAACCTTGTACGAGACAATGAACTCGCGAGCGCCGGCAACAAGTTTGTGTCTACTAAGTAATAGATACATTATGCAGCCTCCATTAGTAGATAAGGTAACGGGAGGTGCAAGATCTCTAAACTGGTCACTAACCATTATGCTGTTTATCCTCATCATGTATCATTATATACTATTATTTAATGTTTCCTTTAAATATGCGAATATTATTTGAATTTGTAATTCTTAAAAATTATTGTTTTTGCATTTTAATACTCCACTTGCTTACACAATCTTGTTAGGTACAAAAGATGAGAAATTGTCTACTTACTTGTAATTTTAATGGTCAATTTTACTATCTTTGACTACCATTCTCTCCTTTATTTGTATGAAATAGGTTGCCTAAAACATCAAAGTATAATTAGTAGGGACAAGCGTTTTTTTATCATAAGTTGGCAAACGAGCAAGCGGCCACCTGAATACGCCAAACCGGCGAAGCGACCGCTGCCCATAGACATTCGCAATAGCGATTTCGTTGCCTACCCTTAATCGACGAAGGAGGAGATGCACATAAGCATAAGCGCTTATTTAATTAAAATTATTTTTAAATTAGGACTCACAAAAACGAGTATCACAACTACGTTATTTGTGCCTAAGATGAATTGAACATGTAATTTGCAACAAGCTCATTAATATTTAATAGCTAGTTATAAACCCTGTTTATATAAATAATAGTCAAGGCCATACATTGTAGGGACTAAGTATACAATTAATCTAAGTATAAATTTTTTAACAAGTTTATGCGTATCAAAAGCTAGGAAGGTTCAACAGGTATAGTGCTATCCAAACAGTATAACGGTTCGTAGCATAGCATGAGAGTCTGTCTTAAACACAACTTTAGATATCATCAGGACGAAATAGAAATACAAATTTGGGTAGGGCTTTCTTCTGCTTGCGTTCTCTTATCTACAGTTAATACACTTGGAGGCTACTAATAATATCTACCGTTATTATACCACACCAACTCGCAGCTAAGACCGAGCAGCCATAAAGTGTGGATACTATAATACCTCGAAAAATCTTGTAACAGTTCGCGATTCTTCCTTGTTACTGATAACAAATATTTATTGCAGTGCGTAGGGAACTGTTCATTGAAGACGGGAGTCCAGCACCGGTCTGTGGTGTGTGCGCGCGGTAGGAACGGCGCTAACGAGGGCGAGTGCGCGGCGCCGCGCCCCCCCGCGCACCGCCCCTGTCTCCCGCCATGCCCCACTGACGACACGGAGCCGGCTGTGCTCACTAGCCGTATGTATACTTCAGTTAACTCTAAATGTTCTCATACTAAAATTACACTTAGTGATAAATTAACTAGCTTTTGCCAGCGACTCCGTCCTCGCGAAATAAAAAAAAAACTTAAGTGATTAGCCTATGTGTTCTTCCAAAATATGATCTATATCTATGACAAATTTCATAAAGATCCGTTCAGCCGTTTAGGCTACAAACTCTAGCTACCATTCATCCCTTCAATGCATTTATAATGTTAGTAAGATAATCATAGCAAAAATCGATCTCCAATATCCGTTTTAGACTCTTGCATACCTTTCCAACCGTTGTAAATGATTTGATGTATTAAATTATTTTTTTACAGCGTTTCACAAAACAAATAAACATACTACAACTACGACTTCCTCCACAACACAAACAAGCGCTATTGATGGGAACGACGACAAAGGTATTTAACTATCATGATTGTCATTTAAACACTTCTTTAATCAATGTTAAAATATCGCAACATATATTTAAGGTACACATGTTCAGTTTTATCTGAATAGTCCAAACTAAGGTCCGATAACTGTTAGTTTTTACTCACGTCCGATTTATCTGAACGATCGGATTCATCATGTACCCTGGCTTATCTTACTCCCGTAGGGGTCGGCGCACCGGGTTTTCGTCCTCCAAATAACTCTATCATCCGACATCTCAGTCAACACTCCCTTCTTGATCATGTCACCTTTCATGCAATCCATCCATCTCTTTCTAGATCTACTTCTACCGGTGTACTCTACCACACTCACTCATAACTAATGTCCTTCTTGTTACATGCGATTCATCCCTTCTCATAACATGTCCATACCAAGCTAACCTTTTACTCCTTTTTTTTCTCAACTACTGGGGCTACTCTCAAACTTCTTCTAATACTCATTTGGTATAATACCCAATCGTGTGGGGTAACACATCCCTCATATCTGAACGGTCGGATTGTCCAGATAAAACTGTCAGATAACACTGAGCGTGTAACGGACTTTACAATACGAAGCTATAAAATCATATCAAAGTGATTTTTTTTTACAGATTGCATAGACAGGTTGAGTAACTGCGCGCTGGCCGTGCAGGCCCGCCTCTGTCACTATATGTACTACATCAGGAATTGTTGCAACTCCTGTATAAATATTATTGATATACACTGAAGTCATCACACTTGGAACTGATGTAGTTAGTTTAACTCAAATTGGCGCGTGGACCTTTTATTATAATATCCGTTTTACTGATTGAGTTAGCTCACTAACTTATCCGTTTAGTGCACAAGCGGTTTAACATCTTATCGTCACTTAAAGGTAACATGAACCAATTTAAGTTAAACTACTTATAACTTAACATTACTGACAATTATATTTTAGTATCTTTTATAACTCGTATTATTAAATTGGTGTGATATTGAATTATTTCTCAGAGTTTTAATTTTTGAGAGATATTGTATTTTTATAAAATTTATAATTTAAGATATTAAAATCCTTTTAGATATTAAGATTGTAACGTTTCATTGTACTGATTAACTTATGTATATAGGCGGCCATAAAATAAAATGATTATAATTTTTACGAAATGTTTTTAATATTGTCTCTCAAATAAACGCTTAAATACACTTGTGATGCAACAAATTGGTACAAAGCTTATTAATTAACGGTTGCAAAACAGTCATACTTTGTAATGTAGAAAAGTTTGCAAAGACAAAAAATACATAAATAAAATAAAATAAGTACTAAAATCACACCAAAAAATTAAAAGAGTGCTGTTATACAATTCTAAAAGATAACAATGGTTCATATAAAACGAATTTCCCACTCTTTTTCATCGTATAAATCATCATAAAGTATAACGGCCGAATACTGAAACAGCATTTAAACATGAACATTGTCTTCAATGATAAGGTCACATTCAAACTTAGAATTCTAAAATTTCACGTCTGACAGGATAACGCGGCGAATACTACGCAAAATATTTAGTATACGTATTAACCTTTAGATATCTTAGGGTGTGATCACACTTTACAACTAACTTATAAATTAAGGAAGAATTCTTCTAACCGTATTTATGCAAGTCGATGCCAAAACCCCTATTAAAGTGACCACCGTAAGGATAATCGAAAGATTAGCGTTGCTATTTCCATAAACTATTCTATATACATCATGGTATGCAAAACAGAGACTTAAATAAGCAGTGCAAAGTGCCAATGCACCTAAAACAGAGTGTCCTATTTTAATCATATTAATGTTATTACTGAAGTTCATAGAAAATAAGTTGATTACACCACTGATTAGACTTGTTATGGTAAAAAGCATCGCCACAAGACCTAAAAGTAAACAAAAAGATAAATTAATTTTACACTAAAAAACAGAATTTTCACAGGATCCTTAGATTTTAACTATGTATTTAAAACCATGTAGCTTTCCTTATGTCAGATACTTAAGTGTATTTTCTATTAGAAATACATTAGAAGAATCTTTTTAAACATAGAGGGAAGTTCCTTTAAGGAAAAATGAAGATACCCAGTATGTTATTCAGACTAACGCTTGAGAGAAAGTCATACAATTAACTACACACAAAAAAAAACAAAAAGCTATTAATTTTTTAAATAAAAAATTATAATAACATCGAAAAAACTAACCAAGAATGCCGTGAGCTGATCGAAAGTTGGTATCCACATCGGCCAGTTTAACAATACTGCCGGCTATTGCTAGAATTGAGCCTAAAATCTGCATCAACCAGTGGATCATCTTCTTGTTCTCATAGCTCAGGACCTTCGCCCAACTCGCGTATGGATTGATAGAGAGGACAGCTTGGCTCATCAAGAGGATGTACTGGAACAAGTAATCGTTGTCAAATTGTTGGCTATGTTTTTGGACAGTAAATGTTCATATAACAGAATTAGTTTTAAATCTATCGACAATAAGATCATTGATATTAAATCAATCTCTAAAAAATCTTTAGAATTTTCAGTAAATACAAACACAAAAATCATTCCTTTAAGTAAATTAAAGTATCACTTACCCCAATAACACACAAATAAATATGTTGCTCAAACGAATTTCGGAAATCAAAGATATTAGCGAAAAATATTGCATTGAACGCAATCGCACCGACTAAAATATGAGTCAACGTTATTACAACATTCATAAATACAACAAACGCGGACTTCTCATCGACGTTAATCTCAGCTACGTTTATATTCTGCCGGGAGTCATTTTGTACAGCCATGATTAATTTTAAAAAATAAATAAAAGAAGTAAACCTCTGAAGAATCAATCTGTACTATTCAACGTTTTATCAGACACAAGATAAAATTTCTATTGGTAATATCTCGTGTTATCAATACAGTTCTCTGTTATCGTTTGAACCGAAGTTAGATAGTATCAATTAC